GGGCTCGAAGACCAGCAGCAATTCCTGCGACTGCTCCATCGGATTCGCTGCGTCGCCGCGGAGGTTGTGGAGACAAGAGCTCGCCTGTCCAACAACACGCGCTGTGGGTTCTGGACCACATCTGCTGTTGGGCATCGTGTCTATTTCTTCCGTACAGATTGCGGGCGGGAGGGCGGAGACGGAGGATGGCACCGCCATGCCGTGGGAGGCAACGCCAGTGAGGGATTCACACGAAGAACTAAGGGCCAAGGCCAACGGGCTGGACGAGGCTAAATTACACACCCGGCACTCACCTGGATGAATGTGGATGATGCGGGGATTTCGACCACGGGCACATCGCACCGCCTTGCATCGCATCGCATCGCATCACATCACATTGCGTATGGGGAAGGAGGGTGAGGAGGAACGGGAAGGGGACCCCTTCTGTCACCGAGGGCCTCCGCCTCTCCGTTCAATTGTCCCTTCTGTCACAGAGGGGCAACAGTGTCACTCAATCGAGGCTCTTGGATTGGCAACGCATTGCGGATGCTTCGGCGACATCGGATGGTTAACTCCCAATCTCCGACGACTTCTTGCTTCCTCCCCGACGATGTCTCAGTTCCAGTCCCCGCGGTCTTTCCTCGCCCTCGGCCTCTCTCTCTGTGGAGCCCGTCTGCGGGCCCCCGGGGCCAGCAGAAAACGGAGGCCGGGTGGGGAACGTTGGCCCTCAGGGAAGAGGTCGCCGGACCCCGCATAGAGCCACGGATTGGAGAGATCATGATACGTCGGAAGATGATCGGGACCCAACTCTGGATTTCAAACGCCCGAAATTGGTACGGACAAGTGGGAGCCATACCCAACAAACCGACAGTGGCCGCTGTTGGGCAGGCGGCCTTGAGTCTCAAGTGGACACAGGCCGCGCGGACAGCGAGCCCTGTTCAAAGTGAGCAGGCACTGCTGGTGGGCACTGGACCCGATGGATCCCTGGTCACCCGAGCGGCGAACAGAAGCGGGCCCTGCGCGCGATGGCGCAGCGGCCTCACGTGGTGGCTCGCGCGGGACGCCACCGTGGCGCGCCGCCCCGGAAACGCGGGCGCTCCCGCGCGATCCTTACCCCTCGGGCAGCTGGCGCGCGCCAGTGTCGGCGCAGTCGACGCCGTGTTCCTCCGCCGCTCGTCCGCGCGGCGTCTTCTGCGTGTCCTCTGCATGCCGTCGAAGACGCAGGGCGCGCGGCGTCTTGAGCCTCTGCTCGTTAGACCAAGTCGTTCGAGGGCCGCACATATTAATTAACGCCTCGGTGCGCAAAGAGAGTTCGAGGTCTTGCTCCCAACCCCCAGGAGATCCCCAGTGGTCCTCTGAGCGCCCCCCGCCCTCGCGCCCCCGCGCACGCCCTCCCCCCCCCCACACCCCTGCACGTATTCCCCCGGGGCCGTAGGCGACCCGAGCAGGAAGAGGAGGAGGAGGAGAAGGAAGAGGAGGAGGAGGAGGAGGAGGAGGAGGAGGAGGAGGAGGAGGAGATGGAGGAGGAGGAGGAGGAGGAGGAGGAGGAGGAGAAGGAGATGGAGGAGGAGAAGGAGGAAGAGGTGGAGGAGGAGAGGAGCAGGAGGGAGAGGGAGGAGGAGGAGGAGGAGGAGATGGAGGAGGAGGAGATGGAGGAAGAGGAGGAGGAGGAAGAGGAGGAGGAGGAGGACGGGTCGCCCAAGCCCTTCGGAGAAACCCTCCACCCCACCCTCCCTTTGGAGACGGGCAGGCGCTCGCAGGCCACGGGGCCGCGGAGGGCGCGCTCCTGCTCGCGTGTTTCCCCGGGCTCTGGGGCCGACCCGTGGCAGCACGGGCGGGCTCGGCGGATCGCGCCGTATCGACAATGCATCGGCGACTCCTCCTCCTCCTCCTCCTCCTCCTCCTCCTCCTCCCTCCTCCTCCTCCTCCTCCTCCTCCTCCGCCTCCTCCTCCTCCTCCTCCTCCTCCTCTCCTCCTCCTCCTCCTCCTCCCTCACCTCCTCCTCCATCCTCCTCCTCTCCTCCTCCTCCTCTCCTCCTCCTCTTCTCCTCCACAATTACCCTCTTCCTCCTCCTCCTCCTCCTCCTCTTCATCTTCCTCTTCCTCCTCTTCCTCCCCCTCCTCCTCCCTCACCTCTCCTCCTCCTCCACAATTACACTATATGACCACTACTCTCCACTCTCTCATGTTAACGTCCTCTCCTCTCTCCCGTGATGACGTCTCTCTCCCCTGATGACGTCCAGGAGATATCCGCCGTCCCCCCCTCCGCGTATTGTTGTTTTTACATGCAGGATTCCCGAGAGTTGGGTTTTCGCTTAAGTGTTGCAAAATGTTGCTCCCGCTGAAACGCTGGCCTCATTTTCGGGTGTCCGCTCGTTCCGAATCGTGCTCCCGCTGCAGCATTCCCGCGCTTCCGCTCATTTCGAATCGCGTTCCCGCTGCAGCGCTGGCCTTCCTTCCAAATAGGCCCAAAAATCTAAGAAATGCCCCCCCCCCCGAAAAAAACCATCGGAAGTGATTCCACAGTCGGTGTCGATTCGTACATTTTTTGGGGCCCCACATTAGGGCGTCGTCGTCGCTTCCAGGAAATATCAAGCGGGAGCCCCGTTTCCGCTTTGAGAACCGAGCGATCAGAGCGCGCCGAGACCGTCGGCTGGTCGGCCAGTGGGCTCCCGAAGGGCAAGGGCAACGCGGGTGGGCCCGGGCCTGGTTAATGCATTAGCTGGACGAAGGCGCGTGTCCCACCTGAGTCGGAACCGGAGTCGGAGAGATGAGATGGAACCAAGAATCGGAAAGCAGAGCCAGCGGGTGCTCTCCATCAACCGCGCCTTGTGTGGAGCTTTTCGGGGTGCCCGGGGAGCTAGACATGGATCCATGACTCCAAACCGGTCCAGACCTCTCTCGAAGACGATCCACTTACCTTCCAAGGAACCTGGCGCCATGCCGTGACATGCTGTGCTGTATTGTGTTCTCCGCCGCTGTGCGATGCCATGCTTTGCGTTGCAATGCTTTGTGATGCAATGCTTCACTGCGCAACGCCACGCCATGCTATGGCATGCCATGCTCTGCCGAGCTCTTCTGCGCCATGCCATGCCGTACTCTACCATCCATCGCGTACCCTCTCGCGATCATTGCCATGCTCTCGACAGCCGACGGTGCGAATAGAGGGGATATCTACGCCATGGTAAGGGATGGGAGGGAGGGGTAGGACGTCAGATATGACGCGAGCGCACCTGGCTTGTCTTCCTCCTCCTCCTCCTCCTCCTCCTCCTCCTCCTCCTCCTCCTCCCGCTCGCGTCGCCTGGGCGTCAGCGGTGCGGCGCGCTCCTCCGACCAGGGGCACCAACAGAGCCAGAGCCAGGTACGCCGACCTCCTGGCTGGGGCTGGGCCAGGGAGACGCCTATGCACCGAACATGGGCCCAAGAGATGGATGTCCAGGGTCGGTGCATCCGTATACAGTCAACTCGTGTCAGAAGGATGCGCGGTAAGGATGCAAAGGCCTTGGAGGCCCATGGGAACGTTGTTCGTGCGATGTTGGCCAGCGAGGGGCCGAAAGGGCAAGGATAAATACCCTTGGGAAGGTTGCCCATTGTTACTATGCGGGTTGACTGTAATAGCTCTCGTCGCCCGACCACTGCGGCCACACTTGGAGCGGCCTTGGACCTCCTGTCATGTTGCATTTGCGCAGGGACCTTCTCTGCCCCATCGCGCCCCTCGTTACCCGCGTCGGGTCCGCGCCGAACGTTGCATCCGTGTCACGATCCCGAGGCGGCCGCGCTGATGCTGCTCCCGCCCGCGCGGGCCGGCGGCGCCGAGGCTGCCTGGCGCGGGGTCTTGGGGCAGCGCTTGGCGGCGCGCCCGGGCCCCCGGACTAGGGGTGCGGCGGCGCCGGGCTAATTAGGTGGAGTTAGCTTCGCGGCGGCTGCCCTGGGCAACCGTTGTCCCGCGCGCTCGCCGGGCGCGCTTTTTATCCTCCTCGTTCCTCCTCCCCCTCCGCCGCCTCCTTTTCCGGCTGTTCCGCGTCTGCTCGTCAACCGTTCTTGCCGCTGGGCCCCCGCTGGAATGTAAAAAAAAGTGTCACGATCCCGTCAAACCCGATTGGAATCCGCGTGGAGCCCGAGCCGGGTACACGAGCAAGATATCCGACGTACTGACTTTGTCCATGCACGGTCTCTGGACGTCCCGACCGGCTCCCTGGATCAGTTTAAATCCCGAGATTTTGTTGGGTTGACGATCCCAGGGTCTGGCGAGGGCCCCTGACGGCAGAACTCAGCGACAACAACTTTAAATCGAACTTTGTTAATACGTTGGAGGCCTAGTGGGGAAATGCAGCCGCTCGCAGCACAGGCAAGGCAGGCTCGAAGATGCAAGCGCAGTGCTCCTGGTGGTCGAAGTTCGTGGACCGGCACGAGCCGCAGCGCCACTCCCGGCCCTCGTCGGGTGCGTCCAAGAGGGGGGGACGGGAAGAAGGGGGGGGGAGGGGCGCATCATGGGGGGGGGGCGAAATTCGCGGGGGACCCGCTCAGGGGGGGGGAGACGCATCGACCTGAAATGGGCGATACATCGCCGATGGATCCGCGATGGGCCCCCGATGGCGAATCCGCGTGCTCCTGGGCGGCGTGGGCTGCCAGTGTCAGGTCGGGCACGTCCCCCGACAGGGAGCTCTCGGACGAAAAAACAAAACTGACCCAAAAGTGTGCCAACCTGGTCGACAACTACACCCTGCGAAATGCTTAAGAAATCATGGGTTAAGAAACTCAGAGTCTCAGAACTTGAATAAAAACCTAAAGTTTCCATTCAAATCTTAGGATTCACCTTGAAACGTTAAGAATAATCGAGACTCTGGTCGAAAATCTAAGTTTTCTTAAGCATCGCCTGAGGTGTATTCACAAGATCGTCCCCCTATTATCCTTCGGCTATCTCTGAATCCCCCCCCCGTGTGGAAGGACGGGCCCGACTTCCCGCCAGTGCCCTGCCGACGATCGGTGCGCGCACGGGGGCCCCCTGCGCCCCGCCCTGGGCCCGCCGACCCCCCGGGCACGCTGCCGCCGAGGGGATGGGGACGCGGGGCGCGCCGTGGCCCGAGGCACGTGCGCGGAGGACGGGGGGAGACCGCAGCCGGGCTGCATCTGTTTGTTGCTCGGCACGCGCGCCCGGCGCCTCCCGCGCCCCTGCTCGCCCTCCTCGCTCGCCTCCGTCGTTGTGCTCTGCTGCTGTCCCTCTCCTCCCTCCCTCCCTCCCTCCCTCCCCTCCCTTCCCTCCCTCCGCCCCGCTCCCTCCTTCTCGCCTCCTCGGCGGTTCCCTAGCGTTCCGCGGCCTTCTTGTAAGACCGCGAGGCGCTGGTGCTCCCTCTGCCCTCCCGGGCCTAGGGGGGATGGGCCAGGGAGTGCCTCGAGAGCAGAAGAGGGGGCCACGACATCGCGGAGATCTCGTCAGAAGAAACACAAAAAATGGCATAGACGTAAACCTGTGGCGCTCCGCGCGGACTCCTTGGATCTGCGCTGGACCCCCCGCTGTCGCGCGGAGCACGCCAAGGGCGGCGCCAGAGGCGCCGCCGGGGGGGCCCCAGCGCGGAAACGAGAAATCCGCGCGGAGCGCCAGAAAACTGCGTTTATGCAGTAATTTCTTCTTCTGACGATACCGCCCTGATATCATGGTCCCCTTTTATTATTCGCTTCTGCAAATGTCATCGGGGGAGACATCGTGGCCACGGCCATGCGATCCACACTTACCCGTTATGAGAGTTATTCATCTTCAGCACTAGCGATTAGGACGTCTCTGAGCGGGACCCCCCTTCCCCCCGTAGACTCCTAGCACGGCAACCTTCGGCCTTGTTGGGCGGGAGGGCTTCCCAGCTCCTTGGTGTACGGCTAACAGACTATAACCCCTTCGGGATAAAATCTCCCCCTTCGAATTTCGCAAGTCACTCCAGGTCACTCCCGCGCAATTCCGAATACCTCTCCGCCTGAAATCACATATACAATCTCTCCCATACTCGGGGGCGCGCAGACATGGATTAGCGATCCATGGATTTGGCGCGCGGTCGCCAAATCATTGGATCGGGGGAGGTGACCTCCCCAGCATGCGGCCGGTGCCGCCTTGCTCGGCGGCGGCAATCCACGATTCCCCTGGAAACGGGACCCGTCGCTCATCCGCACCCCCTTGATCCATGCCTGCGATCGCCCGACCATGCTACTCCTCACCACCGCGCCCAGGCATGTCAAGATCTCACCCAGGAGGAACGAACTCTCGCCAGGGGTTTGGACGCCCGAAATGGGCACGGAAAGAACGGGTACGATGCCCAACAACATATGTTGTCCCAAGCCAACAGCGGCCGCTGTTGGGCAGGCGGCCTCCTGTCTCGAATGGACACAGGCCGCGGCTGCGCGGACAGCGAGTCCTGCTCAGCATGAGCAGGAACCGCTGTTGGGCATCGTACCCATTTTCGTGCCCCGCGCCCTGCGAGGCGCGACGCGCGCTCGCATCTTCGCGCCCTCCGGAGGAGGAGGAGGAGGAGGAGGAGGAGGAAGAAAGGAGGAGGAGGAGGAGGAGGAGGAGGAGGAGGAGGAGGAGAAGGAGGAGGAGGAGGAGGGAGGAGGAGGGGAAGGGGAGGAGGAGGGGGAGGAGGAGGAGGAGGAGGAAACGGGCAGGGCAGCCGCTCGGCCCCCCACCGCGCTGCGCGAGGCGCGACGCTGTGCACCCCGAGCCCCCCCCCTCCCCCAAGAGCCCCCTCTTCGACGCCCGGGGTGGCCCTCGGGCCCCACTCCCCTCCCGAGAGCCTCCTTCTTCGGCCGCCCCAGGGGGCGGCTCCTCGGGCCCCCCCCCCCCTGCTGCGCCTGTTTTCCACCACCACCACCACCACCAGAAGTTGGAGGGGGGAGGGGGTCCTCCTCCTCCTCCTCCTCCTCCTCTTCCTCCTCCTCATCCTCTTCTTCCTCCTCCTCCGCCTCCTCCTGTTCTTCCTCCTCCTCAGCCTCCACCTCCTTCCCCCCTCCAACTGATGGTGGTGGTGGTGGAAAACAGGCCCATCACCCACCCCCTGGGGGAGAGCTCCCGCGACGAGGCGCAGCGCTGCTGGAGTTAGGTCGGGCATGTCCTCCTACAGGCGGGACTTGAAGAGAAAATGAACAGAAAAATATTAGGCATAGTAAACATGTCGTCCCCAAATGATTGTTCATATATATATATATGTATATATATATGTATATATATATATACACATACATAATTTTGAATGTTCCTCCTTTCGAGGGACATGCCCGACTTAATGCTGAAGCACTCATCCCGAGTCAAGGACAAACCTCAAAAGCCAGTGAGAGCTCCCTCCCCCCCGTTTTCGGCGGCGGGCGAGGGGGGGACGCGAGAATCTTGTCGGGCGAAAGGGGGGATAGCAAAGAGGGGGTTTGAGAATCAGCTCACGTAGCTGATTTTCCAGGCGCCTCCCTGCGACGGAGGCGGCTATGTATCGAGGAATGGGCCCCCCCGGTGAGGCCGAAACCAGCTGCATGCAGCAAATTTCGTAATCCCCCCTTTCCCAATTCCCCCCTTTTTCGTCCGGCCCGAGAGAAGGAGAAGGCCTTCTCAGATGGCGGCGGGACCTCTCGGAAGCCCTCACGCTTCCTGAGGAGTGTCTTCTGTCTTCGCGAAGGCTCAGGAATACGCAGAAAGCATCTATACACCACCACCGTGCCAGGCCAGGGCCATCCTGGGCCCTAGGATGGTGTATACGCCCTCCTGGCCGCGCCAGGAAGGTCTATACACCATCCTACGGCCCAGGATGGCCCTGGCCTGGCACGGTGGTGGTGTATAGATGCCTTCGTCGGAAGGAAACCTCCCAGAAGGCCCGCGTTGGCCCATGGTTTTCCTTTCTCGGGCCATGCTTCGGGCCATCACCCGGCTCTCCGGCGGCCGCTCGGGGCGATCGCGGCCACCCCCAGAACGCCCCCTGCGATGCGCAACCGCCGGAAAGCATGCCGAGGCTGGAAAGCCGCCGAGAACCGGCAGAAACGATTGCGAATCGTCGAACCCTGGGTCGGGCATGACCTCCTACAGGCGGATGTTGGAAGAAAAGCAATCCATACATAGAATCAAGAATAATCAGACGTAGCCACAAGAACACGACAAGTCGTCACCACCCTAAGTTTTGACTATTCTTGGATATTATTCCTGTAGGGGGACGAGCCCGACTTCCACCGAACCTCGAAGCTCCCACTGAGCCTACCTCCACCTGAGCCCGTTCCCCTCTAACGCAACCCCCTTGCCTTTGGATCATCACTTGGCTCTCCAGCGGCCGTTCGAGACGATGCCGACACCAATGAAACGCTCTCGGCGTGGCACCGCTGATGGGAATCCCTTCCAAACAACCTCAGCTCGTCCAACCTCCCCCTCGCCCCTCAGAACCCCTGTGCGGGCTTGGGCCATCCGCTGGGGTGGGCTACCTATCAGCGATGAGTGGGCGACTTGGGGTTGATGGGTCCCTCCCTGAGCCAGTCCCCCCCTGACGATGCCCCCTGGCTTTCGGGCCACAACCCGGCTCTCCGGCGGCCGTTCGGGACGATCTGGGCACCCCCGGAACTTCTTCGACGAGGCGCAGCTGCTGGAACTCACTCCGAGGCAGGTCAAGCCGCCGAGAACCTTCGGCAACGCCCGCCAACCTGGAGCCTCGAACAGGCCGTCGCCCTGAGCCTGTTCCCCCCCCCTGACGTGGCCCCCGACTCGGACGCTCCCCCCCCCGGCCTCGAGGGTCGTGCTCCTCGACACCGGGTACGGCTCCGGCGCCAGGCCGTCGTTGCGGTCGGGGCACCACGCCCATGCGATCGGCCTCTTGAAGTGGATGCGGGTCCGCTCGCCGGGGTCCTGCGGGGGCGCAGGGCGCCACCAGATCTCCACCTGCAGGGGAGGGGCAGCACACACACACACACACACATGCACGGTAGGGGCAGCACACACACACACACAAACGCACGCAAACGCACACACAAACACACACACACACACACACGCACACACGCGCACACGCACCCACACACACACACACTCGAATCATGCAACAAAACTCACGACTCGAGGCGTTCCGCTATTTTCGGCTCCTGGGGGGGTGGCCCTTCCCGGACCTCGGGCCCGTCAAACAACGACTCAGGATGCCCAACACTGGTCCTCGGAAATGGGTCGAGACCTCGGGGGGTCGACGCCAGGAGAAAACGCTCATGACGTCAGGGGTCTGGGTGGACCTCCTCGAGCATCACAGAGTGACAAAGATACCGACGCCTCGGCGTGCTTGGCTAACGGCGTGCTTGGTTAACGGCGCGGTTAGGAATCTGTTCTTTTGTGGCACCGAGCCCACGCAGAACAAAATGTAGGGCATCATGAATCACCGTCTCCTGGATTTCAGTTATGCGAATGCACCGAACGAAGATGACACAGCGAGCTGTATAGGAACAACACGAGCCACGCGTTCCTACGATCGGTTTGGCCACGAGCCACGCTTTCCTGCCATTGGCCTTCCCGCATCGCCGTTGTTAGCTAACATACCGTCAGCGCGCCTACGGCCCACATCTGCGCCCTCGCGCCCTGCACACGGTCCGCGCGGGGCACCCGCTCTGGCCGAGCGCCGATGCATCGCCGACGTCGGCGATGCATCGGCGACGTCGACGCGAAGCAAATCGGGCCCCACATCAAGGCGCACCGGCGATGCATCTCGGCCATGCGGCGCGATCCTCCGGTCCCATCTGCTCTGACACCATCTAGGAGGCCCAGAGTATCCATATTCCCTAATCAGTGCTTGCACTGAAGGGGTCCTCGCAGAAATCGAAAGATTTGGCGAAATCGTCCCCCCGATTTTGGTGGCCAGCTGGGTTCCCCGGTTCCCGTCTCTGGGTCCCCGGGCTCCTGGTTATTGGCTCTGGGCCGATTTCGGTGGGTTCCGGGACCCCGGGTTCCCAATCGACCTCCTGATCGATCAAACCATCCACTGCTTGGGTTTTTTCCTCCGGCGTGATCCATGGCCTCGCGGTGCGGATCCAGCGGAGGCGCGGTCGCACGGGCACGCTCCGCGCGGGGCATCTACGAACAAGATCAGCCCGTATTTTCACAGGGCCGCGCGGGCCGACCTCCTTGTCGATGAAAGTCCACAACTTGGGATCTTTTCTCCGGCGTGATCCAGGGCCTCGCGGTGTGGATCCCGCGGAGGCGCGGTCGCACGGGCACGCTCCGCGCGCGGGGCACCCACGAGCAGAAGAGCGGCCCGCACTTGCACACGGCCGCGCGGCCCAGCGCCGGAGAGGCGCCGGGAGTGCCCCTGGCCCAAGGTTCGGGTAGGGGATCGACGACAGAATTGATTTGCCCCAGAAGTGATTCTTCTTGTCGAATCCACGGGCCCTCAGTCGAACTTCCGCAAATCTGCGAATGGTGGACGTACCTTTGCTGAAGAAGGGACGTGAAGATTAATTTGGGGGTAAATCAAGACTGTGGGTAACGGCGGTTGCCCGGGGGAAGGGGGTTTGGGCCGGCGGGTAACGGTGACGTCGGCCGCGGCGTGCGCCCGCCAGGGTGCGTCCGCGCCATCGGCACATCAATTGCCATACCTGCTGAGAGGAGGGGGTTCCGCCCTCCACCCCCCAAAAACGTACGATCGTTAGCGTTACCCGGGGGGCGGGGGTGGGGGTGGGGGGTTGGGCTCGGGTAACAAGCGTTACCCGCCAGAGGAAAACACACACAAACGCTCTCCAATGATGTAGCCGACCCCCCAGTCGAAAGGTGCCCCTCCAAAGATGTTTCGAAGGCTCGGTGGCAGCTCTCTCGGGAGCCTCCCGTGACAGCTCGGCGGCTTCTGCGACATCGACGGTACAGTCGACGCCGAATCGACGCTACTCGACGCTACAGGCGACGCCACATCGACGCTAATCGACGGCTGATCGACGCTAAATCGACGCTAGATCGGCGCTATCTACGCTAATCGACGCTAGATCGGGACTATCTACGCTAATCGACGCTAAATCGGCGCAATTCCTAGACGCTAATCGATGCTAACGACGGCATTCAGCGGGTATACCACGCTCCCATGATTTGCTGCCGAACCAGGGAGCCCCCCGATGCCTCCAGGCACCCCCTCCCCCGAGGTCCACAGGTTCGGTCCAAGGGACTCCAAAATGGAGCGAAGGGCTAGGGGTCTTTTGGGCCAGGGGCAGCTGGCAATAGGGAAACGAATAATGACAGAAACAGAAAGGAGGTCCGCGCGGGTTTCTCGGATCCGCGCTGGACCCCCCTGGCGACGCCTCCGGCGCCGCCCCTGGCGCGCTCCGCGCGCCAGAGAGGGGGGTCCAGCGCCGATCCGAGAAATCCGCGCGGACCTCCGAGTGCTTATCGTTATGTCATTCTTCGCTCCCCTGTGCAGGCCCCGACACGGGCCCGGCCCGCGAGGTCGTGGGCACGGTCAGGTGTTCCGCCCCGGGGGGTCCCCTCGGAGTCCCTTTGGCGTCCGACCCCCTGTTCGGCTGCCGAGGTGGGGCAGTCGAGCAGGCCGCCGCTCCGGGACGTCGGCGTCGGCAGCCGCGCCCGCTCGGCAGCCGCGCCCGCTCGGCAGCCGCGCCCGCTCGACAACCGAGAAGGCACTTGGCCTCCACGCTGGGACCACACTGTGGATCGGAAACAACCCCTGGGAGGTTCGGGGAGACGTAAGACTCGGGTTAAGGGGACTCGGGTTGGCCCGACGGGGCCATCATAAAAATGACGCGATCCAATCTAAAATTTGACGCGGGCTCTCGCTGCAAAAATTCCACGAAAACTAGACCGTCAACATCCAGGACGCGCTCGTCCAAAAACGTCCGCAAACCCGAGTTCTGGCTTACTCGAGTCGTACGTTTCCCCGAGAGGTCTGCGTAAGAAGGGTGAAGGGCTCCTAAGCTCGATTGGTGGGCCAGCACGTCGGATGGGGCCAGATGAAGACCAAGATTGAGCGGAACTCATTGGGATGCAGGATCAGGCCGGTGTTCAATCAATGATACCAGCACCAATGCTGAATGTAACCTCCCAGGAAATGCAGAGTTGCGTCTTAACAGTGATGCCTATAGATCGACGCTCGGCCCAGCTGGGGGGGGCCCACATCCTTCAAAAGTGGGCCCTGCGACTGCCTAATGGGAGCTCGATCCTTCCCCTCTCCCGGCCACCCGGCCGACGACGCACGGGAGGATCTCCTCCGCGGGCTTCTCGAAGAGCACCTCTGGGTCCGACTGGTTGATCTGCACCACTACGTCTCCTGGCTTCACACCCGCCTGCTCAGCGCGCGTGCCTGGGCGGACCTTGAAGAATGAGACGCCGTCGCCGTCCCCGCCCTCAAGGACGACCTCGGACATTGCCTCGTTACGATCCCCGTACACGAGCAGGTTCAGCTGCTCCTGCTGGGGGCCGAGGCATCGGCAACAGAACCATCATCTTCGCGAGGGGGATTTGGACGTGTGCACCGAAGCGGGGACGTACTATCGAGGACCCCACAGAGTAGTGGATGCGGATATCCCCCGCCGGGAGAACACTCTCTGAAGCGGGACATCCGGGGTTGCCTCCACTCGGAAAAAGTGCATCCTCGGCCTGGGTGCCGGTAATCTGAAGATCGACCACCGTGCCAGATTGGAGCGTCCTGACGTCCCCATTCACCTCGTCTTCGGCCTCGGAGGAAGGAGGCGATGAGGAGGAGAAGGAGAAGGAGTAGGAGGAGGAGGGGGAGGAGGCGGAGGGGGAGGGGGAGGGGGAGGGGGAGGAGGAGGAGGAGGAGGGAGAGGAGGAGGAGGAGGAGGAGGAGGAGGAGAGGGAGGAGGAGGAGGAGGAGGAGGAGGGAGGAGAGGAGGAGGAGGAGGAGGAGGAGGAGGAGGAATGATGAGGAGGAAGGAGGAGGAGGAGGAGGAGGAGGAGGAGGAGGAGGAGGAGGAGGAGGAGGAGGAGTCGCGAGCGGAAAGTGGCGGTTGCCACGAGAGGCCTCCCTGAAGCCCCAAACAGCGCCCAGTAGCCCCGATCTTCGATTCGAGGCGCCAGAAGCAGCATGCACGAGCCGAAACTGTGGGAGGTCCAACTGTTTTCTATTATCACGTGGCCTGTTCCTCAGCAAATTGGCGTGGTTACGGCGACCAAAATCCCCAACGTTGCGGGTTTTTGTTTGACCGGGTGATCCCAGTTCGGGGATACACGATGGGGGGACGCCCATCCTCGATCAAGGGTGCGTCTGAACAGACCCCAGGGGTGCAATTATCTCCGACTTTCCCTTCGCTTCTGAGCGGCAAATGTTTTTGGTGTGAGCCTGGGTGAGCACTCTGGGAGACAGTGGAGAAACACCGCAAGGCCATGACCAAGTCTGGACGCCGAACCATCGGAATCGATCTTGGTCATGTACTCTCTTGGTCACCGTGAACTCGTGAACCATGAACAAGGTTGACGTCGACAAGATTCCGCGACAGGAGCCCGTGTACTATTACTCGCGATAACGCCCGTGGCCGGTCTCCCGCCCGTCCCCCTCTCCCACTGGTTACATCACGATTTGCGCCGACGCCGTCTGGGAACGAGCTATTATTTCAGTAGGGACCGACCGTCCTGGCATGCCTATAGGCCTACCACGAAATCCGCAGAACCCAAAAACGTTCTAAGAACAAAAACAATGTTCTTATAACATTAAAACGACGTGTGAAAACAATGCAGTCCCAGCCAGAATGTTCTAAGAATATCTCGTGTAAACCACAAATGGTTCGAACATTCTTCGGTAGGCCTATACGCGAGCCAGGACGCTTCGCCACTGCTAGAATTCTTGCACATTCCACGACGGCGCCTGCGCAAATCTTGACGTGACTGGCCCCAGTCGTGCCCGGCCATCCTGGTCGTGTTCATCTTGCTTCTCGACGCCCTCCTCCATTCTTACACGCGACTGCCTCCCTCCCCCCCTACGCCCTCCCCCCTACAGTCTGGGCTGATTGGAGAGGACATGCGAGAGGACACAAGATCCTTCCGAGGGACACGTCGGCATAGGAATGTAGAAGGTATGGGTCGCGAGACACAGGACAGAAGGGTACCCATGATTTGGTAGGGTCGACCTACAAATCAGCCTGGACTGTCCCATTCCGCCCCCCCGTAACACAAACAAACGCTCTCTATCTTGATAATGGCTACCGTGCTTCGCCTCTCGAGTCGGGGGCGCGCAAACGTGGATTAGCGATCCATGGATTTGGCGCGCGGTCGCCAAATCAATGGATCGGGGGAGGTGCCCTCCCCAACATGCGGCAGGTGCCGCCTCGTCCGGCGGCGGAAATCCGCGATTTCCAATGGAAACGAGACCCGTCGCTAATCCACGACCCCTTATAATCCATGTTTGCGATCGCCTGCCTCTATCTTGATCATGGCCACCGTGCTTCGCCTCTCGAGATGACTCGCCTACGACGATCGGTCCACTCGATCTACGAATCCCCTAGGGCACCAGAAGTGTGGGGTTCCCTTTGCTCGGGACCTCCCGAACGAAGTGACCCCCACCCTCCCCCTCAGACATCATGGGGGGTAGGGGAAGTTGGGCGCCCGAGTTATCCGGGGTAACTCGGGTCCGGGGCAGCTCGGGTTTGGATTCCCGAGAAAGGAACCCGAGTTAGCCCTGACCCGAGTTACCCCTGATGATTCGGGGCCCTGGACGTCCGAGTTATCCGGGGCAACTCGGGTTTGGATTCCCGAAAAACGAACCCGAGTTATCCCTGACCCGAGGTACCCCTGATGATTCGGGGCTCTGAGGAAGGGTTCGCCTGTGGCTCTCCATCCCCCCCTCGGGGGCGCCTCCTCGTCGGCCTCTGAGTCGCCGTCGCCCTCGGCGCTGGAGCGCGCCGGGCAGGGCAGCGCGGGCAGGAGCAGACGTGCAGCGCCAGACCTGGGAGGGCACCGGTTCGGCGACGAGCTCAGGCGTGTCGTCGTCGTCGTCGTCGTCGTCGTCGCCCGCGCGATCTAATTGAGACAAGCAAGCGGGTCAACCCGCATCGGGCCTCGGAGGGCCATGCCGACGTCTCTCGAGCGAGGTCGGCCGGCGAAGAAGTCGCCGAGGACGGGCCGGAGGGGCAAGGATGCAAGGGCGCCCCAGGTCTCTCCATGAGCGTGGGGGGGTGGATCGCGCGGGGGGGGGTGGGGAAACGCTGCCCTTCGGGGGGCGTGGGGAGGTCGGGGAGCGAGTGGGGGTGGGTTTGGGGCGCGTGGGGGGGCGGGCAAGGGGGCGTCGGATAGGTTGGCACGGGGGTGGGGGCGTATCTCAGGAGGAGAAAAAACACACAGACACAATTAATCCTCGATCCCCCAGAAAATATAGGGAAATATGGGAAGTGGGGGGGAAGACAGAAACCCAGAAAATATGGGAAAATATGGGGAATATTTTTATTTGTGTGTATTTATTTGTGTGTCCTGGGGCCCCTTCAGTATTGAAGGAAGCAGAGTACCCTTGGGGAGGATGCCCCTCCTTGCCGCGCGGGCTGCCTGCAGCGACCTCGCGCGGTGGCCCACGCGGGCCGCCTCGCGCGGCGCACACGGCACCGAGAACGCTGGCGCCTGCGCGCGGCCTCGCGTGGGCAGCTCGCGCGGCGCAGGTTTGGCGCAGTCGGCCCCCTTCGCTGCCGTTCGTCGCTCCGTTGGCGGCGCGCCTGGGGCAGAGTTAGGTCGGGCCTGTCCTCCTACAGGGGGATTTGGGACGAACCATTAAAAATAACCCAACAAAACCCCACAGTGGTCAGAAAAAATACTTTACAAATCGGCCCCATGCTGTGTTTGACTATGTTTGAAGATTCCTGCTGTAGAGGGACAGGCCCGACGGAAGGGTAGAAGGCAGAAAATCCACCCCGAGAATAAACACCCCGACGCGCGAAACGGTTTCGTAAACGCACCCAGAAGAATCCAGCAAGGCAGGGCTGTTTCGGAAACGCCCAGGGCCGCTTAGCAAATGACAGCTGTCCGGTCCGGGTGATTTGTTCCTCACCTGACACGGGGGGAACGCAGAGGGGGCGGGCCGTGATGAAACGTTCTCAGCCTTCTCCAAAGCCCCGCCGCCTTCTGAGAAGCCCGCGCTCCTCTCCACTCCGCCCTCGGCACGCCAACGAACCAGCCGTAATAATAATGCATGCAGGATGACGGTCAAGAAAAATGCGCCGGCACCTTGAATTACATCGGGCATGTCCCCCGACAGGCCTATAGAGGGACAGCCCCGACTGAAACCTAGTAAAACAATGCTTCTCGGCCGCCGGGCAAGATTCTGGAGAGGGGGACCACATAATCCCAACGACGACCACGCCCACGAGCAGGCCTGGAAAACACACTGAGTCACGCATCGCCCGGGACGCTGCTGCGTGACGACGGTCCCTCCTCCAAACCTGTCTGAATTGTGATGCAACGTTTGGAAGAAAGCCTGCGCCCCTCGCTAGGCTCACGCTGGGCCCAGGATCGGTACGTACGCCCTCCACTGGCACGCCCATGACCGGGGGGCGGGCGGCGTTTGTCCCAACGCAACAACGCCCGCGGCGACACCGACGACAATCTCTGCTCAGAGTGGGCGGGAACTGCTGCTGGTCTTCGTCCTCGTCGTCGAGGCGAGCAACTGAGCAGCAGCAGCTGAGGCCAGCAGCAGCAGCGAGGAGAACGGCAGGAGGCAGGCACAGCAGCAGCGAGGACGACCGGTTCGCACAGGCTGTGCACTCGGCCTGCAGGCCTGGCCAAGCGACAGCGTACACTTGCTATGACTGGTACCGTGCAAAACCTGAGCATCCCTATATGCCCACCACGAAATGTTCTTAGAACACAAATGTTCGAAATAACGCAAACAATGTTTTTAGAACATGAACCCGATGTGTCAAAACCAGACAGCCCCAGACAGAAATGTTCTAAGAACCTTCCGTGGAGACCACGAACGGTTCTCATAGCAGTATCTGGCAGGCCTATAGGCACGCCGGGACGCCTCGCCACTGCTGGAAAAAAACACCAGAGCGAGCCAGTGCAGGCCGAGGCCGCAGCAGCAGGTCGGTGTTTTTGTTGTCGTGCAAGGCGGTGCGCTCCACCTGCAGGCCAGTCCAAAGGAGGGCTGGGCGGCGCCCACCCACAAGGTGGCGCGAGGGCGGCGGCCTGCGGCGAGGGCCCCGGGGGGGGGAAAAGGTGACTACCTACCGGACCACCCCAACCCAACCCGCAGACCCGCATTTCGGGTGGGGGGAGATACGGGCTTCACGTGTGTTCTCTCAGTGTTCACCGACCCCCCCAACTGGAAATGGAGGGCAAATCGGGGCCTTCGGTTTGGGCTGGGGTGGTTAGGTGGGCGGTGAGAAGGGGGGCTTCTGAGAGGGGAGGGGCCTTATTAGAATTGGGTTGGGCATGTCACCCTACAGGCGGTTTCTGGACGAAGAATCCTCGTGTGGAGGGACACGCCCGGCTTCACACGTCGCCCTCCTCCCTCCGCTCGAAGGGGGGGCCCTGGCAAGGTACCCACTTCCGCGGGGACCAGCACGCCGCCAGCGCGCCGCCGGCCGGGGACCACATCGCGCGGACCCGGGGGGGGGGGGGTGCGCCGCCGCCTCCGCGAGAGAGAGAGAGATACGAGGCCCAGGGCTCCCCGCCGCCGCGAGGGGCGCCGCAGCGGGCGGCTCGTCGAACCTCCACATCCTGCTCAGCCGTCCGACGTCTTGTGAGCGTTGTTCCTTCTTCGGCGTTTCGGCAGTGGGCGGAAAGGGGGTGGACGGGGGCGGTCTGGCTCAAGGACCTCTGCGCAGTGCGACTGTTTGCAGCACTGGGGCCTATGCGGGGAGACTCCACCTGCTCGAAACAGGCGCCCAAAACAGCCAAGATCTACTCCATGGGGGGGGAGGGGGGGTTGGGTGGCCAACGCCGATAGGCAAAACAATGCATAAAACAACGATCACCTTGTAAAGCATCGGGACGGCGGTGTTTCAAAATGCTCGGCCTCTCGGGGCCCTCTCCAGGGCTCAGGGCCGTCAGAAAGCGACTCGGGACGAGGGACGGGTCCCTGGGAAGTGGTCGAGGGGTCGGGGGCCCGCGCCTGGAAATAAATCGGGACGCTGGCGCAGGTTGTCTGCGCTTCCCCAGCATTTTGAGTCCGAGGTCCTTGTTGTCGGCGTGGCGCATCCCCCTTCTCCTCCTCCTCCTCCTCCTCCTCCTCCTCCACCTCCTCCTCCTCACTTTCCGCCTCGTGGCCTCATACTCGTATTCACGCACACTCAGACCCACCTACACTCGGACTCAGACTCACCCACACTCGGAATTCACCTACACTCAGACAACACTCGTACTCAGACTCACTGAAAACAGACTGTAGTCATACTCAGCCAAGTTGTACTCAACCTTGCACACAGAGCACGCTCGCACCCTGATCAATCGCACTCAGACTCACTCAGCCTTGCCCACGCCTTGCCCCTTGCGCTCCGAGCACGTGCCCGAGGGGCTGGCTCACTCCGCCCCGCGCCCGCCAGGATGCGAGGACGTCTCAAAAGCTGCGCTCGTCTTTCGCCTCGGGCTTATCTCCCTTCAGAGCCCCATGATCACCGCGATGTCGAAGGAGGAGGAGGAGGCGGAGGAGGAAGAGGAGGAGGAGGAGGAAAAGGAGGACCCCCAGTGTGGGCCGCCAAGGAGTGATATGCCCTGGCCCGCTCGCGCCCAGACAATGGGGATGTCTCGCGCGAGGCGCTCGGCTCGCGTCTCCGCCTCATGCCGTTCCAGGGCCCCATGGTCACCGCGACGCAGCAGGCTGACCACTGGAGCACCGCCACGGGGAGCCGCCAGACGGTGGTTCGTATCCCCGTTCCCACGCAGATGATGGGGGGTGTCTCGAGCGAAGCGCCTGCTGCGCATCTCGGACTCCTCTCCCTCCAGGGCCCCAAGATCACCGCTACGTAGCAGGCAGTGCACGTGAGCACCCCCAAGCGGAGCCGCCAAGGGGTGTTGCATGGGCCCGCTTGCGGCCACGTGGAAAGGATGTGTCGAGCAAAACCTTCGCGTTGGCCCCCACGACCCCTCTCCATTCAGAGCCCCATGACCACCGCGATGCAGCTGGTAACCTATTTGAGCTCCCAAGAGGGAGCAGCCAAGGAACGCTTCATATCCCCGCTCGCGCCGAGATATGTGGGGATATCTCAAGCGAGGTGCTCGCTTTGGACCTCGGACTCCTCCCCCTTCAGAGCCCCATGATTACCGCGATGTAGTCGCCATTGTACGTGATCGCCCGATTCGAGAGCTGCAACAATATCTCACGGGCCCTTTCTCGCCCTGATTGTAGGAATGTTCCGAGAGAGGCGCTGGGCTTGCATCCCAAAGCCCTCTCCTTTAAGAACCCCACAATCACCGCGGTGTATCAGGCGCAGCACTCACTCACGAACACAGGAGCGTCATAGGGGAGTCTCGCACGGGCCCGCTCGCGCTTTGCTTGCGGGGATGTCTCCAGCGAGATGCTCGTTTTGTGCCTCGGACTGCCTTCCCTTCAGAGCCCCATGATCACCGCGATGCAGAAGGCATAGCATTTGAGCACCCACGGGTGAGCTGCCAGGGCGTGTTACATGTCCTCGCTCGCGCCCAGAATGTTGAAACCTATATCGAACGAGGTGCTCTTCTTGCGTCCCTGGATCCTCTCCTTTTCATCAGAACACCCTCATCCCCGCTCTGAAGCAGGCATAGCGGATCCACCACTGCGTATTATTGTGGATGCCATGACAATGGGCACCAATCTATGTTTGAAGTGACACTGTCTTCAACATGTCGTCTACGTGTTCTAAACATGGTCGAAACATGCTTAGAACATGTTTAGAACAATGTGTAAAACATGATTTAGACATCTGGGAACTATTTGGCAATATGCCGCCCCTCCATTGATCGTCTTCCATAAGAGAATTCCGTTTACCCGCCTGCGCCCAGATTTGGGGAATGTCTCAAGCGAGGTGCTCGCTTTGCACCCACGACCCCCGTCCTTTCTCAGGGCCGGGGGCCCCCTCGAAGGCATCGACAAAAACAGCTGGCTGAGGGATGGCGAGAGCCGCTCCGCGCAGGAGGGAAGGGGGCCCCGAGGCCTCTGAGGGGTGCCCGTGTCTGTCGAGAATCTCGCAAAACTCCTCCTCCTCCTCCTCCTCCTCCTCCTCCTCCTCCTCCTCCTCCTCCTCCTCCTCCTCCTTCTCTTCTTCCCTCCTCCTCCTCCTCCTCCTCCTCCTCCTCCTCCTCCTCCACCTCCTCCTCCTCCTCCTCCCCTCCTCCTCCTCCTCCTCCTCCTCCCCTCCTCCTCCTCCTCTCCTCCTCCTCCTCTTCTCTTCTTCTTCTTCTTCTTCTCTTCTCCTCTTCTTCTTCTTTCCTCCTCCTCCTCCTCCTCCTCCTCCTCCTCCTGCCTCCTCCTCCTCCTCCTCCTCCTCCTCCTCCTCCTCCTCCTCCTCCTCCTCCTCCTCCTCCTCCTCCTCCTCCTCCTCCTCCTCCTCCTCCTCCTCCTCCTCCTCCTCCTCCTCCTCCTCCTCCTCCTCCTCCTCCGCCTCCTCCTCCTCCTCCTCCTCCTCCTCCTCCTCCTCCTCCTCCTCCTCCTCCTCCTCCTCCTATCCTCCTCCTCCTCCTCCTCCTCCTCCTCCTCCTCCTCCTCCTCTCCTCCCTCCTCCTCCTCCTCCTCCTCCTCCTCCTCCTCCTCCTCCTCCTCCGCCTCCTCCTCCTCCTCCTCCTCCTCCTCCTCCTCCTCCTCCTCCCCTCCTCCTCCCTCCTCCTCCTCCCCCCCCATCCGTCCTCCCTCCTCCTCCTCCTCCTCCTCCTCCTCCTCCTCCCCCTCCTCCCCCTCCTCCTTTCTTCCTCCGTTCTTCCCCTCCCTCCTCCCTCCTCCCCCGCCTCCCCCCTCCTCCGACCGTTGCCCCTCGCATGTGGGCTCTCCAAGAGATGGTCTGTGCCAGGCTCTCCCGTGCCCGAGGGGTCCCCCCAAAACCCGCGCGCTGACGGACCGCGTGCAGCAGCTGAGGGCCCGTCCAGCGACGAAGGCGGGCCAGCCCGGGAACGGGCGGGGCCCCTGTGAGGATGCCTTGCGAGGATGCTGTGGAAGGCACGACGGCGCTGTTACGAACTGACGTGGAGGGCACGACGGCGCTGGCACAAACCGCCCGGGGACCTCGCCTCCCGAAGGACCCTGCCGCACGGCCCCTCGCCGCACGGCTCTGGGAGCACTGAAGGCCCCAGCCGCCCGAGAGGTCCCCGGAGAGCGGCCCGAGTCTCCCAAAACCGTGCGGTGACCCCGCAGTGTCCACCGACTCACCACAGCGGCCCCCTTCGAACGTCTGGGAGAGGGAGGAGGAGGAGGAGGAGGAGGAGGAGGAGGTGGAGGATGAGGAGGAGGAGGAGGAGGAGAGGAGGAGGAGGAAGGAGAAGGGGGAGAAGGGGGAGGGGAGGAGGAGGATGGGGAGGAGGAGGAGGAGGAGGAGGAGGAAGGAGGAGGAGGAGGAGGAGAGGAGGAGGGGGAGGAGAAGGGGGAGGAGGAGGAGGAGGAGGAGGAGGAGGAGGAGGAGGAGGAGAGGAGGAGGGGGAGGAGGAGGATGAGGAGGAGGAGGAAGAGGAGGATCAGGAGGAGGAGGAGGAGGAGGAGGAGGAGGACGGGAGGAGGAGAACGGGAGGAGGAGAAGGAGGAGAATCTGGGCAGCACCGGAACGCTCTCGGTGAGGCGCAGCTGCTGTACCGCACCCCGATGCAGGACAACCCCCCGGAATCCCCGAAAGCGTCTGGAAGCCCAGAATTCCAACCACACGAGATAGGCACCACGCGGCGTGGTCACCACACCATTCGGCCCGAGCGAGAAGACAGGGGTCTCCGAGATGGAGTCCGAGTAGACTGAAGATTGCACCGCATCGCCGACGTATCGGCGATGCATCGGCGAAGTCGGCGTGGAGAAAGTCGGGCTCCACATCGAGCCGCGACGCCGATGCATCGGCGATGCATCGGTGATGCGGCGCGACCATCGGACCCCATCTCTCGCCATCGCTCGGACGTCCCTTCCCCGTGCATGTGTCGGTTTCGTGTTTTTTTTTTGCTCCGCGGGATAATCCAGAATGCTCCTCGATGATCCCCGCCGAGAAAAATGGCACACGTCCGAACGATGCCAAGATCTGTTCCGACCACATCTGAGCGACGATGGACAATGGGTCTTACGCGAGATGGCATTGCGACCTTACGCGGTGGCTTACGCGGGCCGCCCGCGCGGCACGCCGCATTGGAGACGAGGGCGCTTTCGCGCATCCTTACGCGGGCATCTCACGCGCAAATGCTGGCGCAGATGAACCCGCCTTTTGTTTCTCCGTCGCTCATCTGAGAAGCCCCGAGAAAAAGCGGGCCAAACACAGGAAAACAAACGACATAAAACACAGACATAACAAGCATACAAACTACAACATATGAAAGACACGGCGGCAGGGGGTCCTGGCCAGGGAGGCGGGGGCGGCGCGGGCGGGCAGCAGCTCTCGAGGCCGCGGCGGCGGGCGGCGGGCGGAGGAGAGAGGGCACGCGGCGCAGCCTGGGAGGGAGAA